CGCCAAGATTCTCTCCTTTGGTGCGGTTGTAACGGCTTTTTGTCTGTGAGCTCGATACCGACTCGAGCTCGGTGTCGGATCGGAACCTCGGCCTTGGTTTCGAGCTTGGTGATCACTTTCCGGCATCGATGTTCGGGACCTGTATCGGTCGATGTTACCTCGGTCGATTCGGACGCCCCGAGCTCGACGCCCCCATCTCGGAATTCGTTCGGGTTCTCCATGAAGATACCCCTTGACTGAGATGCCATCCTCGATCGATCTTCATGATCGAGGATCGGTTTTAACCGTATACAAAGGGAAAAATGGATTAGAAGACCATGGAAGTAGAGAAGAAAGTAGTTGAAAATTGCAAAGAGGAAGAGATGGAGACAATAATCAGCAAAAAGAAGCAACTTGGAGGAATCAAAACTATGCCATTTATACTGGGTGAGTTCCCGTTGTCACTTCGTACATACTGAAACCTAATTTTACTTGGCAATATTATAATTCTGAGCTTTAGTTTTATCATATCTTTATATGGCTCAGGTAACTTGGAATTAGTACTCTTTCACTTTATTGTTTAATAATGTGTAGCCCTTGTGGAATTTATCCAACAAAAATACTTCAAGTTTTCTGGAGATCAAAGTAGGACGGCATTTTTTTTCCGTATCTTCTTGTGTAGGCTGTTCTTGTATTTGAATAAATAGATGGGGAAGTTCACTTTTTACAGAAAATGTTCTGATACAAGGGATACGAAAAATAGTTCAAATCTAGGCGTCATTATATTCCTTTAGCACTTTAAAGCTATTATTCATGAATAGCTGTTTAGCCCTACGCTCTTGGTGGTAATATTAGTTTGGTCTTAACATCTTCTTTTGCGGTTCATGTTTACTATCGCGTCTAACTATTTGACAGATGATCCATCAATTAATCATGATTAAGTGAAAAATATATATATGCATACATGTCATACTTTTACTAGTTTGATTAAATATTCGGTAATCGATAAATTTTTACCATCTCACTGGGATGTGTGCATTCTTCGATAATAATTTTCGTCATCTCCAATCTTCTTTCTCTTCTCCTTTTTGGAATGTTAACTAATTTGTACTATTACAACTTGGTGGGAAGATGGCAAGAAATTAGAATTATTTTATAAATTAATTCACTTCTGCGAGGTTAGAATAAATCCATATTTGCGTATTAAAAGCCAAGAAATGAATACGTACATGGAAGAGCCGGCCTTACAGCCTCAATTACATAATGGGGTGCAAGAAATGGAAGAATATTAATTTGTTCATGGGCAGAGAAATGATATACACCAATTAAGGTTGTGGTTGAGTGGTAAGTACTTCTTTATCCTTAATTAAAGGTCTTTGGTTGAAATTTTGGTATAAAGTCACCTTTATTAGAGAGGTTTACCCCCTTTGTGGTCTTTTGGGCGCAAATTAGGCCGCAATATAGTACCGAACACCGGATGAGAAACCAACGGTATATGTCTTTTATCACCAATTATCGTGCTTTAAGCTTTCATATTTAGATAATATCATTATTTTAAAAGGTGATTTTTGGGCGAGCCATAGAGTAAGGCATACAAAAAACACATCGAGGTGTAGTGACAGGGCTTAAGAATCATGGGACATAAGCCTGAACCTTCCGGGCGTTGGCGTTCACCTAGGCATAAGTCCCATCGTTCTGGGTGTTCATTTTGAGCATAAGCCCCGAGAAATTTTTTCAATTTGAGCAAAAAATGATTAATAACTTTTTTTTTAAAACTTAATATGCAAAAGTTAACTCATAGTAAATTCTCAAACTAAAAATCTAAAAAGTCAAAAGTTTATTAATATTTATCCTAATTTCGTAATCTTTACTTTTTCTCGTTGACTAAGTAATAAATACACCTCTTCTGTGCTTGCATTTTCCTTCTTTATGCTTCATTTTGTTTTTGCATCTTTTATTTATTTTTTTCAAGTTAGTTTTTGATTTACTATAACTCTAGTTTAGATATTATTTTGCGGACTCTATTCTGGATTTTTTATGATAAGTATTTGTGACTTGTTATCTAGTTTTAGTTTTTTTTAAATAATGTTTTATTCATAGTATATTTTTTTGAATTATTAGGAACTAAAATATTATTTTTACCATTCTGTGTATGTTCTATCATAGTAATATTATATATGTAATATATCTTTACGTCTTTTACTTTTTCAAGTAAATTATTTTTTGTATGATTCGTGCACATGTTATTATTTTTATATTATAATATACCAGTATCAGTACCCGCGCAATGCGCGATTTATATCAATAGAAATTAATTATTGCAAACTAATTTTATCACTATTGAGTCTTAAAAGTGAAACGTTCGTCGGGTCTTTGATTGGCTCTGTTCCTCATATCTAAAATTTATTCCTTAAAGCTAAAGATATATGAATCTATCATTATAACATTTTAGTGACATGAAACATAAATCACCATATAGTTTGTAATGCAAACAATTTAAATTGTCTAACTAAAACTCTCAAATTAAATTACGAAAACCCTTCTTTATACACTATATTTATAGTTTCGTTTAATATTTGTCCATCATAAACCAAAAAATCTAACCCCTTTTACTTTCGTGAAAGAGCAACATACAATTATTCATGTGTAAATATTGATTTCTTCGATGTAACTCCACATGAAGTAATAATTGGCCTAGATTTTTGTTAATCATTATGGTAAAAGATATAACAACAAAAAATTATCTTCGCTAGAACTTAAACGGTATTCTTGCATCAGATAGAGTCAACGTCATTCGTAGAATAAACTACTTATACTATCTGTTGTATTCCACCAAATACTACTATAGCAATATAAATGATGAGTTTATATCAGCCTTGAACTTGGATATTATATAACTCCTTTCCGAGTATAGGAGGGAGGAGATGGATAACAGTTATGAGATCCAGATTCCTAGAAAAATAAGACGTGGTCTTACCACGGCCTCATCATAATATAAAATATTTTTTATCTCAAATTCAAATAAGTCTTATCCCCAAAAAAATCTTACTTATTGTAAATTGCTAAGGTTAGTGATCAATAATAGACAAATAAATACTTATAGCTTGATTATAAGTATTTTAATTCAATAATAGACAGGAAATATTAGTCTAATATAACTTTTATCATCACAATTCAAAAAATATTCTCATATTAAATTTCAGATATCTTTTCCATCTATATTTCTGAGATTATTTATTTACATACTTTTCCTCTTTTTTTGTTTCTTGTCTACTGTCTTGAGCTTGCTTTTATCAATAATATATCAGTCTTAAACTTGGTTATAAGTATTTTTTATTCAGTTTTAGACAGAAAATATAAATATTGTATGACTTTTTTTTATAATCATAATTCAAAAAACTTTTTCATAGCAAATTCAAATATCTTATCCTTCTATATCTCTACACTGAAATTATTTACTTATATATTTTATCTCTTGTTTTTGTTCCTTGTCGATTGTTATTGCATTATCTATCACTTAAAATGTTACGCTATTATGTAACTTTTAATTAGCTTGCTACTTACTTTATATCCTTGTCCGCTACTCCAATTACAAAATATTATGTATAGATGAAAATGATTTTTCTTTCTATTGAAATAAAATTTCTATTTATTTTTAGTATTTTGTTCTATAGTGTTTAATTTTATCAATAATATTTTGGATTATCAGTTATTTGGTTGGTTTATCATATTTTTAGATTAATTTAAAGTATAAATACCCTCACACTATTTCTACCCCTTTTTCTAAATTATTTTCCCTAGTAGGTTATAAGTATTTTTAATTCAATAATAGACAAAAAATGTAAGTATTGTATGACTTTTCTCGTCATAATTCAAAAAACTTTCTCATAGCAAATTCAAATATTTTATCCTTTTATATCTCTACACTGAAATTATTTATTTATTTATTTTATCTCTTTTTTTGTTCCTTATCGATTGTTATTACACTATCCATCACTTAATATTGTTACGCTATTATGTAACTTTTTATTAGCTTGCTATTTACTTTATATCCTTATCAACTACTCCAATTAAAATTTACTTAATATAGAGGAAAATGATTTTTCCTTCTAATGAAATAAAATCTCTCCTTATTTTAACATTCCATTCTATAGTGTTTAATTTTATTAATAATATTCTGGATTATCAGTTATTTGCTTGCCTTGTTATATTTTTAGATTAATTTAAATACCCTCACACTATTTTTACCCCCTCATTTTAAATTATTTTCCCGAGCAGGATAATTTATTTAATTTTGTATTCAATAATAGAAATAGAAAAAAAAAATAAGTGCATATGATCATACTTTATAGTACTTCACCAAAATTTCATGGTAGTTTATTATTGAAACTTCTAGTAATGGTTATTTTTATTGAAATATCTGGTTTTAGAGAATTTACTTTAACTTTTAAAAGATAAATGTTGCAAGTTATGAATGCACATAATTTAGTTTACTTTGTACGTTAAAATAAAAAATCATCAATATATTTTTGAAAGCGAGGAACAACCAAGTCTTATTATTATTTACTTTTTGGTAATAACCAAGTCTTATTTTAAACGTGTAAAGTAAACCAAAACTGACTCCTTCTTTTCCTTACATATAACCTAATTGTTTTTAATGTAGCATTTAATGAGGATATCATATGGGCCGGTAATTTTCTTTAGTAAACCAAAAATAAATTATTATTTCCTTACATAATAACTCAAACGTGCATAATCTTAGAAACTAAATTCAAATGATATCTAGTCAAAGGCAAATCCAATAACCATGTACTAAAACCTATTTCGAATTTGTTAAAAGAGTCAAGTGGCATTTTCTTAATATGCCATTTGGTTTAACCTCATGTTTCACTACCCTTCTTTTAATATAATATAGATATACATATATATACACACTATATTAAAAGCACGAAGGCCCTTAGCGAAATATCGTTCGTCTTTTTTATCCTTTTAAAATAGAGTTCACACTGAACAAAAAAATTATTTAATTATTTTTATAATATTTAAGAATAATTTATCTTAATTAATTTCCTACTATTTAGGAATAATCACCTTTTAGGTTTGGGAGAATTGTTTTTAGTTGATAAATTAGGAAACTTTGTATATTTTGAAGTAACTAGGTTTCGTTTATTTTCTAACTTTATTTATATTTAGGAGTATGAAATTTCTCCTATTAGGTTTAGGAGGGGTTTTTTAGTTAATAAAATCTATGGTTCTTTTTAATTAATAAAAATTGACAGATTATTCTTTATAAATTTATAATTGGTAATTGTGAACTCCTTTTCGATTTAGGAGTCTTAATTTTTTAATAATTAATTTTTATGGTCTATTTGAACTATATACAATTTGACCTTATATAATTTCTTCTTTTTGTTTCGAATTATATATGAGTACTTTTAAAAGTAGTA